CTCTCCGGAACTATTTGGCATGGTTGACCATCAGAGACGTTGCATAAAATTGCATCCTCGCCCGACCCCACCAGACGCAGTTGTAGCTTGAGAGTTGTGGACGACACGTGATGCAGCCCAAGGTCTTCTTGTTGACACCGAGCTAGTTCAACGAGATCGACGCCCTCGATACGGTTTATCAAAGCTATCTGAGATAGTGCATCGGCTGCCAAATAATCTGCTTTGAAAATGTGGCGGGAATTGTAATCCAGCTGTCGTGGCTCACAAAGGGAATATTTATCCGGCGCCGAGCTGGGAGAGAAGGTTAACGGTTTGTGGTCTGCGAAAATAATGAAATCACGACCTTCCACTGAATGTCAAAAGTGACGTACAGAACAGTACATAGTTAGGAGTTCCCTACCAAATGTATTGTATCTTGTTTCCGTGTCTTGCAGACGCCTCGAGAAAAAGGCCAATGGTTGCCACTGGTTGTCAGTCAACTGCTGCAAAGCCGCTCCGACTGCTGGGCCAGATGAATCAACAGCAATACTCAAAAGAGCATTGCGGTCGTGATGTGTGAGCAAAGTTGCATTTGAAATAGCTTCCTTGACCTCAGAGAAAGCAAGTCTAGCCACGTTGTCCAGAGTCACGCACTTCGTAGTCCCTCGAAGTAGATCTGTGACAGAGGCGCAGTTGGGAATAAACCTTTAGTGATAACTTACCAGGCCAATGAAAGTGCGGAGCTGCTTTGAAGTGGTCGGCTCTGGATGGTTTATGATAGCTGCCACTTTATACCTCAGTGGGCATATGCCTTTGTTATCAATGGTATGCCAAAGGAAGCCGAGTGATTCAACTCCTATTTCACATTCCTGCAAGTTGACTGTGATGTCATGTTTTTTAGTCTACTGAATACGAGGTCCAAGCGTTTAAGGTGAGTTTCCTTATCTGGACTCGCAATTAGACAGTCATCGATGTAGACGTGAACAAAATTCAAACCACGGAAGGCATCATCCATTAAGCGTTGGAATGTTTGTGCTGCATTCCAAAGACCGAATGGCATGCGCGGGAATTCAAACAGGCCGAAAGGAATAGTAATAGCCATTTTGGAGATGTCTTCTGCTGCCATAGGTATCTGGTTGTACGCCTCGACCAAATCGATTTTGGAGAAAATGTTCATTCCGCATTAGGTTGCAGTCAAATCGCAAACGTGATGCATCGGGTAGCAGTCCGGTGTTGTTTTGGTGTTAAGCCCTCGGTAATCACCGGTTGGACGCCGGCCGTTGTTATCCTTCCTGGGAACCATATGTAACGGTGATGCCCAAGGACTACTTGAAGGTTTGGTGATGCCCAGTCTCACCATGCGGTCGAATTCACTCTACGCCGTTTCGAACTTATCAGGGGCTGGATGGCGTGCTTTAAATGTCACAGGTGGACCTGTGGTTGTCACGTGGTGCATAACATTGCTGGTTACGCGCGGCAGAGTATGCTTCGGTTGCTGTAACTCTAGATACTTTCGCAACACTGTCTGACAGGGTGCGTCACCTGATTGTTTGTTTCTAACGATGGCCGACTTTGGACCTAAGTGGGTGGTGCGCCAACAGATAACTGTGTTGCTATCTATCAACCGTCGATGGCGAGCATCCACGAATAGATCGCAATGGTTCAGCAAATCTATGCCAGTGATGGGCATAGAAACGTTAGTTAGGAGGAAAATATAGTGGATGGGTTTAAGTAAACCTAAGTTGAGGTAGGCATACTGTCTCCCGAATGTCGCTACTCCCTTGCCGTTGGCAGCTTGAGGATTGAAGGATGAGTCATGATGACTCTCCTTTTTGGTGCGGGAAGAACGCCAACTACTGCGTTAGTGTTGACGGGGTAGCGAACTTTTGTCTCCGCCAGCTACGTTTTCCGTGAACGCTTACCAGCGTGACAGTTTCCCGGGTTTTTGTCCTTGTTGAAACTGCATGGTTTCCGACATTTTTTGGCCTCGTCTTCGTAAGTATTATGAAACCGGCACCATTCAGGGTTTTCCACCCTGTGAAGTTTAGTTTTGGGACAACCATGCGAGTTGCTGCGATGCGCTAAGATGCGTTTCTGTGACGTGCTACGTAAACTGAGGGCTTGAGGTCGTAGCAACTGTTTAACAGAGTTGCACAGTTTGTTCACCTGTGAATCTTGGCTCTCGCGTTCATCGCGGACAGAATATACGTTAGAGACGGGTATGCTAGAGATCTCCAGTATTTTATCTGCTGAGGCTGCGAGGTCATCGAGTGGAACTGACTGAAGCGTCACTGACACAGTTTGCACTAGTTGTGGTAGTTTTGAGAGAAATAGCTCTCGGAAAAGGCCATCGTTGAATGTTCGCGCAGCCATAACTTCTCGCATGCGTGCAAGGACTTCAGTAGCTGAGTTGCTGCCTAGCTCGATGTTACGAAGCAGTTCGTCTAGGCGATGGCAATCTGTGAGATAACACTTGTTCGGGAGTGAGACCTTGAAAAGTGTATAGGGATAGCTTACTTTAGGACCCAACATATGTGCTGTAACATGCCTGTTTAATTCCCGCGGTAGTGAACGTATGACAGTGAGAAATCGAGAATGAGGATCCGCGACTCCCTGTCCTCGAAAATCTGACTCGGCACACAGAGACCGTGTTTCTGCATTGTCTGGCCAATGTGGCAACAGACAGCTAGTGTTCATAGTCGGCTTAATGCGGATAAGCTTGGGATTACGGATGGATATATGAAGGTTATCAAAGTGAAAACAATATGAAAGTATAAAATGAAACAGGCTCATCAATTTTAGATTTGTCATTGGTCGGGATATATTATAACGTCGGGCTCACCAATTACGGAATCGTCCTGGTGCGAACTTGACAGGCGCAAAGACCAATCACTAATTATTCGAACGTGTTATATACCCACGAACACGAGGCCAAGAAAGGACACAATAGCGTAGTCGGATGGAATGCGATATTTTGGCGGTTGTGCCAAGATACCGGTGTGTTCCAACTAACTGGCTAGAGAGTCGATTGCGAGCAGTGCAACACAACACGACAGCGCGCCAAACGGCGAGGATGTTTGATTGCGTGCCCCCAGCTTAACGAGTAAAATTAAACTATCAAGGTCAGCATCAATGTTGAATCTCGTCAAACACTAGGCTATTCATTTTGGGTAAGCGTGATGCCATAAACCCACTTACCTGGGTGCAAGTTTCTACGTTGGTTTTGTGGGTCAGTATCAGCCACACGTGTGCATCGGCTCAAGTCGCCTCACCTGAAAGGAGTACACAAAGAACAGGTTGATATGAGAGGAGTGACACCAAAGTATGCAATGTAGTGTGAGAGAGTAAATAATCTGAAGATAAAGGTTAGTGCAAATATTCAAGCTCTAAAAGATGTCAAGGAGTAAATACATCTGCACCATCGTGATGTATTTTCAGTTATGTCACCAAGAGTCTTCGACCACTGATTCCTATCGTCTCATGGACCCCAACCAGATGGCCTCCTAGATATAATTAGTTTTGTAAAGTATGCTTATAGCTTGAAGGTTTCTACATTGACCACCTCTTCAAATTTATGTCAACAACATGATTTCCTATCTAACATTGACGAAACAATGATCTAACCTGAATGGTCTCATGCCTAATTCCACGGAACACCAGACAACCAATCATAATCTCAAATGTGGAAAGTATTTGCATAAACTGCCTCAGTCAAATGACTCTTGTATTACTACTGACCATGGATTACAGAATGTTGCACCTGTGATCTGTCTTGGTCCATGCTTTTCATCTAATCTTTCTTGATGCTCCCATGGTTCAGTTGACGGCTGGAATCGACGGTTGCAGAACGAGTTTTGTGCCTTGACCACATTTACGTATTCCCTTCATCCAAATGCTCATATAATAATTCTTCATTCACTCTACCCCCTTTACTTCTCTTCTTGTGAGTTTCTGTGACTTTCGACTACATCTTTTCGCTTTCTCTGTCTTCCGTCTTCCTGCCTTGTACCTTGATGCACTGATTTGGGATTTATCAACTTGAACTTTCATGCAGTGATGTCAGATCCCTTATTGAAGTTGAATGACCGATTCTTTCATATCTTAGTGATTTCAACAAACTTCCACTCACTTTACTACAAGGAGAATCTGTGAGTTTATGGTATTTCCCAGATTCCAGTTTGGGTACTTATTAGTTTATGTTTTATGTATTTCATTCATTTGTTCTCTTTTAAACTCCCAACAAAGACTGTATTGTATTACCTGGAAATTTGAATACCTAGGGGGGTAGTAGTGAAACATTGCGTGCTGAAAGTTCTGTATAAAACCGAAAAGATTATTCAGAACACAGCTATGATAGCAATATTGACTAAAATCTGGGTGATGATTGAAGGTTAAATGAAAATCCCGACCGTGGCGGGATTCGAATCAGGATTTCTCTTCTCAACCAAAATCTAAACGAACTAAAGAGGAGGAGCATCATACTAATTTCCATCTTGACTCTCTGAGATGGCCGTTGGTCAAAATGATAATCAGTATGATGCTCCCCCTCTCTAACTCATATAGATTTTGATATTGGCATGAGAAATCCTGATTGGGTAGCCAGTGCGAGTACGATCAAGCGGTAGGAACGCGTCACGAATTCACAATGTATTCGGGCAAGCTCCTTGATAATTGAAGTGAAATAAAAACCTTTTCAGCAGTCGAGCCTCGTAGCCCAGTTGGTAGAGCACCAGGTCGGAAACCCGGTGGTCGCTGATTCGAATCCTGCTGCGGTCGGGATTTTCATTTAACCTTCAGTTATCACCTGGTATCAATACTAGTGTCCCAAGCCACGGCTATCTCAGTCAAAATGACAATTAAAATCTGTATAATTGCTTGTGCATTATGTTGCTTTCTTAGTTTCGGCTCATGGAAGGGTTTTTGTGTTTTCTATCTTACAGATCGTGAGATCGCTATCTTCAGTTGCTGGTCGAATACACTCTGGCTAACCCTACACTTTGTACTAGTTTTAACTCTATTGGATGGCACTGAACGCAGAGAATTTGTCGCATAATATGGGTGTCAAAAATCTGTACGAATCTCATTTGGATGATGAAAACTATTCTTCCGTGGAGAATTACGGTATTAGAGAGCTAAGACGCAAGCTACACACTGAAGCAGAACAGCGTCGGAGAAATGCTATTAAGGTTGGTAGTCTTATGACTAATTCCATTCCTGATTAAGCGAGGCTTCGAGAGTCTTCTAGAGCTAGTTCACCCAATAAAAAATGATCCGGCTCCTTCTGTTCGTATGAGTAAATCCAGCATTTTACACAAAGGTAGTTGGAAATACTGTACTTATAAATGATTGCAGCGGTATCAATGATTGAAAGGCTTGGAAGACAAAAGCACCAGAAGCTTTCGGAAGTTGAGAGCTTGGAAAGGGAAGTGAAAGCTCTTCGAATATTGTGTTTGTAAGTCACCCAAATTATTACCCTATGAACTCAGGAATTATGAGAAGATGGTTCAGAATAGTCCAAATAGTGATTGTAGATCTGTCGAGCCTGTTTCAGATGAAATGAAACTGGAAGTGTTTCAGATGTTCTCTGGTGCCTTGTTCAACTCATTTGAAGATCATATTGTGTTCAATTCATTTTCAGATCTTTCAGCATCAGTAATCAACTGGATTGAAGAAAGCTGTAAACCTGAAGTTAGTTGACTCTGCATTTATCCATAAACAGCAGCTTTTATATTTTTGACTCTCCGTAGTGTTGAGCTGGGCAAAATCTTCAAATAGTTTTTTGAGGTGTGCTTGCAGTGCATTTTAAATGTTGGTCTGCCGTCACTCTGTTATGAGTTCATGACATGGAAACTGCACCCGTTACAAATAAAAATGGGCAATGCGATAAAAACTTGAGACTGGACCTTAAAGAAAGCAATGTTAACGCCATAAGTATGGTATGGCTCACTATGTTGCTTTCTGATTGTTGTCTATGCAGTCGGTAAGCCTGATGATTTTTTAAAAGTAGGTGTTCAAAGAATAGTTGCGAAAGTGTGTTATGTGAAAACAAAGTTCATATTCTCACGAGATCGGTTAACATGGTAAGGGTGGAAGTGTGATATGAGGAAGATAACATGCACATTTACATCGTGATGTGACCTGTGATTTTCGCTTGTGTGGTGTGTAGTGGACCCAAAGATGATAAACTACGCATAATTTTAAAAAAATAGATTCACCGATGCAGAAATGTGAAAAGTCACCTGTTATAACACGAAATAGTAATGTCGATGTTATGTATAATAACTGGTTACTTGAATGTTATCTCTTCACTACCGTCCACCACAATTTAGTATACTCCAGGGTTCAGAAGGCAATATTTGTTAGCTCTCCAGTCGACGTTGGTTGGCTTAATTGTCGTAATATTTGGAGGTAGGATGAGAGGTCCTGTAAAATCCGAAGGCAATCAATGAGTATTCACGACCGAGAATAGTCATGGAGACAGAAGTCGGAATGGATAGAAGCACACTATATTTCCACGTTTAACAGCAGCAGCAAAGTCATCAATAACCGCCACAACCAAAAGTGTTTACAGATAAACAACATTCGTTGGTAAGAATGTACAAAATGAGTGAAAAGCGATGAAAAGGAAACATTGTTTTCAATTCAAGTGGTTTATACACGATTTCATGCGGTCTCCAAAGGTGTCATCATCTCGGAAACTCATAGAATTCCAATCTCTTTTTATAGGACCATGTAAGTGCAGTTCATTGCTTAGTGTACAAACCTGCACATATTTACTCCTGAGTTAACATATCCACCGAAAGTTTCACTTCAAAACATAGAACACATTACTATACATCAGGTGCTGTTGACGCACTATTTAGGAAAATGCTTATGAAGCGATAATTACTTCTGCAGCAGTTCCGCTCTAACTACCACTTTTAGCGGGTTGTAGTAAATTTGAATCGTGTACAGATGCTGTAACTGGTAACCGCATACAGACTAAAAGGAGTGGATAAATCATACTGTTATTAGTCATAGTCAGTGTATTGGTAAAGGACTGTTGCTCTTTTAAAGTGCCTACTTGACTTGTAATCAGGTAGTGGTTGACGAATGCGTTTCTGCTCCTAAATAGGTGCAAGAAATGGGCAGTTAAAAATCTAATATGTGCAGTTTGGATAACAACTCTCCAAGTAGGAGCTAGGTAAGCACTCATGAAATTCCGATAGAGATTCTTATGCATTTATGTGATGCCACATACAGTCAACTGTCGAAACAGTTGCAAACACATTTGATAACAATAAAACCCAAGGGTTTTAAAAGCCATTTTGTCTTTTCGGTCTCGTCCAACTAGTTAGTAGACGAAGACTCGTTTAACTACATACTAGTGATATCTCATCTGCGGAACTAAAAGGAGGCTGAAATAATATTGACGAACACATAGATGACTGAATGAAAACGAACGAACGAACCATAACCAACTAATAATTTATATCACCAGGGTGCATGCTTAACAGCACACACAATAAGGGAATACTGAGCGATGGGTGACGACAGCAAGAGAGATGGGAAAGGCTTCAGCAATTATTTAGGCTTATTAAGAATACCGTCAAGAAGAAGACGATGTCGAGTGAAACCGTCACCGAAAAGGATTGGACGCTGATAACCTTCCAGGACAGACAACTGTAACGTTTGACAGAACACTTTGAAGCACGGCTCAACTGACCCTCAGCAGCACTTTAGTTGCTCGTCATCCAGCCTGAACCTCAGTGAGACGTAGATATCAATCCTCCAACTCTCGTGGAACCTGAGGAAGCTATATCGAACCTAAAACGGTATAAAGCAGCAAGACCTGACAGTTTGCCACTTGAAGATCTCAGTGTTGGTGGTAAGATATTTCTAGTTAAAGCGACGGAGGTACTAGGTAGTGTATGTGCTTCAAGGATAGTACCATCAGACTGATGTACTTCATTGATCATTCCAGTCTACAAGAGGGGAGAGAGATTTAGTGGCAGTCATGTGGAATCAGTTTGACCAATATTGTTTCCAAAATTCCAGGGTCCATAGTTATCCGACTCCTAACCGGAGCTCGAGAACAGCGAACCCGAGAAAACCAGGCAGGTTTCAGACCTGGACGAGGGTGTAGCGATTTTGTGTTTACCCTCCGACAGGTTCTGGGACACAGACATGCCTACTTGCCAATGGCCAACACTTTCCGTTTTGGTTGACCTGGAGGCGGCACTTAACTCTGTCGACCATGAGGTTTTGTGTCAGTTTGTGACTGTGAAAGGAGTACCGAGCAAGTACATAACACTGACCAAAGCTCTCTACTCGAACTCACGCAGGCGTGTCAGGGCTTATGGAGAGTTGTCACTGGATGCCCACCGCCACCGTTCATACTCAACTTCGTCATGGACATGCTGGTGGGCGTAACACTCCGTACGTCTGACTTCACAGGGATTGACCTACCCCCTGGAGGTCATCCGGCTGACTTGAAGTATTCAGACGATGTAGTCCAGCTGTGTGAAGACTCTGACGCAATGCGGAGTCCTTTGAACGTGTTGGGCATAAATCTGAGTAAGTTCAGCATGCTTCTTACTGGTACCTGTCAAATGCAAGATGGTGCTCCAGGAGTGGTCTGCTGCAAGTACTCCCAGTTTAATGATAGGGAGTGGACTGGCAAGTCGATTGATGAGGTTGTGAACCTTAGTCGACTGAGATGGCTTGGACATATACGGCGTATGTCGAACAAGCCACCGTCTACCTCGATGTTGGTTACTACGGGAAGCCGGCTTAGGTTGATAGAGGGTTCAAGATGGTCAAATCAAGACGTAGGATCAACCGATGAAGTCACTTACTGTTGGTCTGAGTCATGTATGGAGGTCTAGACTACTACCTACCACTACCTACTACCACCGATAGGGATAGGTGGTTGAGGACTCTTGGTGGCGTGACTGAAAATCTATCACGATGGTGCAGATGTATTTACTCCTTGACATCTTTTAGAGCTTGAATATTTGCACTAACTTTTATCTTCAGATTATTTACTCTCTCACACTACATTACATACTTTGATAACACTCCTTTCTTATCCACCTGTTCTTTGTGTACTACTTTCAAGTGAGGCAGCTTGAGCTGATGTACTTGTGTCTGGGATTTTATGTTGATTTAACCAGTCACTCTTCTAACGTGTACCGAAAGTCCAATCAGTGAAGCAATAGAAGCAATATTAATAGTAATTGGATGTTGAAATAGGTTTCATTTCCAATCTGTCGGAAGGCTTCAGTGAAAGTAACTGATAAGTAGGGAGGAGCGTAGTGAAGATTTTTAAGTAATAGATATCAGTTGAATGTGTTCCTGTTCTTTAAAAATGACCAGTCATCTTTTTCATTCATTAACTTTATCAGCGGTTTCGAGGATTTTGGTTTATACTTAAGCGCATCACTTAGGTAAACATTCTAATACACTTAATTGTAGTAAGCTTCTCACAACGCACTGCATTCATTAGAATAGCTTCAGCATTCACTGAGGAATGTATGCAATACTTTTGGCGTGACTGACTTCCAAAATCTTTCAAACTTTATCACCTTTACAGTCTTTATTAAAAATACCTTTCGAGTATTTATAAAAGTATCTATAGATTACGCGTTTTGTATGGTCAAGTGTGACAGCGTTTTAGTGTCTATTTCATTGACTTAGTTGTAGCTAGTAATTGATTAAATACCTTCTTTTTTTAGAAGTTATTTTTTTCCGCAACCTACTCTAGTGTCTGACTGACCCGATAGTACATTTACTGTGCATTTCGTATACTCATTTTTTCTTTTTAACTTTTTCTTACCAACGCGAAATAAAAGTGTAGATACTTGTAAGGCAATAAACTTTACCATCTCAAGATTGATGAACTATATATATGTTTGTCAAATCCCGATGAGGTATAAAATTTTCTTTTCCTACCTCATTGAGACTGATTTCAAAGGAAAGTAAAACCAAGAATCTTTTGCAAGATATTGTGTAGACTAAAACTCAATCTTTACACAAGGTAACCATCATTTATGCATTAGGCAGTCAAGTCGATGCAAATCACAACCAATTAACAAATATCCCCTAGATGTAGAGATAGCATACCGTCATATCACATTCCTTTAGTTGCTTTGACACATTTCCTTTCCGTCATATAACTTTCTATTTTTCATTTTATTATTAACATCTGTATATCTCTCAACATGTTGCATTTTATCGTGATTTATTGATTTCAGATGCACTGTTAAAAAGTTGGTTACAAATTATAGATTTCATATCCATACACTGACTGAATATTAGAAAACATGATATTTAATTTCTGATTTTACTACATCGTAAAAAGCAGGTTTGGATTTGAAACCGCCAAGATAAAAATTCTGATTTGTTTCAACTTGTAGCTTTTAAAATTTCTCCTAAAGGCATGATGTTTAAGTAGAGAGTTGATTGAAAAACGTGTTACAGAGTGATGATACGTGAAACGAAAGCTTAGGTCGCAGCAGTGGCCTGCATTATGATGCCCCGGTGCTCCATTAATTGAGCTACGAGACCCAGATGCTGACTAGGTCTTAATTCTACCCCAACCACGTATATTTTGCCCGGCTGCTACGTGAGTTTCTGATACTTAACTGTTCCTTTGTCGGAATCACACTAGCAGCCAAGTTAAATCTCTTCATGCCGATCCACATCAAGCTGAATTAGAGTGGTTGACCGTCATACTGATTATCACTGAAATTATCTGAGCTTGTTAATGGTTTGGCAGCTGATATCACTGGTACGGAGTGATGATCAAATGTGAAATGAAAACTTGGACCGTAGCAGCATTCAAAAAGGCAGACTATAATTTACCAGCACGATGCGCTACCAACTGCATCAGCACAAATGTGACTTGGTGTGTGTCACAGCCAACGTTAAATAATTCCATATTGGGTTTGTTCGTTTGACATAGCACACACTGATACGATATTACTTACTTGATGACGCTTCCAACATAAATTACTGCTCATAATCAGTGAAGCCATGACTCAGCGGTTTAGGGAGATAACTATCAACTAGTGGGTCACAGGCTCGGACCCCGCTCCACCTACCGAGGTTTGGGCAGCCAGACAGTTTCGCTCGGCTCTCACACAATGGGTGTGAATCATTGCCTACTGCAACGGATGTGCACAAAGTGGTCGAGTGAGTTCTATTTCAATAATGATATCAATGTAATCACACGGCCTTCGACACCTGACTTTTATAGTCTTATCACCTCATATTCTTTGTTTTTAGCGGTAGTAAAATTCTCCACATATCCGGTATAGATGTTGAGTCATTCCTCCTACATCTCCGTGTTGGTTCGATGAACAAAGATTCAGTAGTCTATCTCCCTCTCCACCTGACCATATTGGTGGTTTCATCCCACCATATTGTGTGGTTGTGCGTTGGTGTGTGCAATATTGCAACAACCGAGTTTGTTTTACAGATTACTTAACCTATTGGGGTCTATTATTCTACATTTGGCTAAATTCCCATGTTCCGATGATTTAACTGAAGCGGGTTGGATAGTTCGATCTATGTATTTCACCTCACAATCATTGCATGTAATTTTTCTAGTTCAAATTATTCCGTTTGATTGGGTCAATGGAACCTTTAATTTGACAAAGGTTATTTGTGAATGAGTTTGTAGGTTTGAATGTCACCGTGTTGTCAATCTCGTGAGGATTCTTCATAAAATTCCTGATGTTCCTTCCTTATATAATACAATATACCCCTAAGCTATTTTCTGCTTCTGATGCTGTTACTAGTCACGTCACTATTACTACTTCGTTTCTTATGAAGTCTTACGAATTTCTCAATAAACTAAAGGACAATTATTGAGTAGCAGTGTTTCTCAAAATGAAAAAAAGAATAATGCAAGACTAATGATGGAAATTTTACTACTGCTAAAAACAGAATATAAGATGATAGGACTATAAAAATCAGATGCCAAAAGTTATATGATTACTTCCATAAGATTGTAAGTAATAATTTATGCTCAAAACGTCATCAAGTAAATAATACTGTATCATGGTTTGCTATTTCAAATAAACAAATCTAACATTGAACTATGTACTGAATAATGCCCAATTTTCCCACTCAGATTAGTGTGAAAATAAAGCTTGGAAGAAAGTATTCAGGTATTCAGAGAAGAAAATATTCTTTTGGACGAACCATTTTCAGTAGTTTCACAATCATATCTGTGATAATATCAAAGAAACAAGTAATTCTACTATCATGGATGAAAATGAAATGATGTGACCTGAAAAAGTGTGTATTTTCTAGATTTAGAAAGAGTTTGCGTAATCATCTGATGTATAAGGAAGGTCAAGATCATGAATAATTGGTTAAAATGTAACAGTACTACTTTTAATCAGTAGCCGGACCAATATATTACTTTATACTTAGGATAGTATTCATCACAGACTAACATCACTGGAGGACCATTTAAAACCTGTGAACACTGGCCAGCTGCTTTGTCCTAGTTCACTAGTTACTAGCCGGTCCTCAGACCGAGTAAAGAGGGAAGGTTGGGTGTAGGGCTAGGAACCCTACTCAGGAAAACAAATCTAACCGCTAAAGAAACTTCAAAGCACAAACGATATATAAAAAATAAAAACAAAATTATTCCTCGCTGGAATCGGAGAGGCGAAATGACGCCAACTGGTGAAAGCCTGCCTTCGGGAAGCCAATTGGCTGATGTGTCTTCTCTTCTCTCGATGAAAGCGAAAGTAAACGTGGGGACATGAAATGTCAGCATCATGCTTGAACCTAGCAAGGCAGCCCAGATTGCAAACGAGGTGATAGTACTATAAAAAATCAGATGCCAAAAGTTATATGATTACTTCCATAAGATTGTAAGTAATAATTTATGCTCAAAACGTCATCAAGTAAATAATACTGCATCGCTGTTTGTTGTTTCAGATACACAAATCTAATATGGAACAATGTGATGCACAGTGTCCAAGTTTTGCACTTATTGTTAAAATGAAGCAAAGCGGAAGTTACTCAGCAAAAATTGTCATTTGTCTCAGTAATTTTACAGTCACATTTGAAGCGATAAAAAAAACAAAATTAATTTTATTACCGGTTAATACATCAACATTAGGTAATCAAAACGAATTGTTCTAGGATGAAATAGTCATTTCTTCACTCTGGAGATTGTATAAACAAAGGATGCATAAGGAAGACATGCATTCGATCATAATGATGTCCAGCCTAAAAATGATGATTCTGACCATAATCAACGTGCGAAGCGATTAACAGATCTATTCCTTAGTATCTGGTTAACTCTGCTCTACGAGAAACTTCCTTCAAAATCATTTATAAAGTCAAATCAAACATTTCGAATGGAGTGCAGATTCGTCACCATTTAACGCAGCAGGTCTTAGCAATTTGTCAGCTCAATACTTATATGTGCCTTGAAGAGAGGTACGTCCTATCTCTAATTTTACCTTGGTCGTAGTCTTCCTAAAACATTTTATTTATTTGTCAATTATTTAGTTCGAGGTTTTATTTTATCTATTACTCATTTGTTTAATTTTATAATTTCTGTCAAACTAACAAGTTGACAGAAGAGCCAAAGAAAACGGGACTTCAAGTGAATGTAGACGAAGGAGATGAAGATACCCAATGAACAACAAGCACCAATCACCATGAACGGGAGAAACCTAAAGGAAGTAGTCTCCTTCACCTACCCACCTATCTAGGCAGCATCGTTTCAACCACAGGCGGCGGCACAGGCATATGAGGATGTCAAAACCAGGATCGGAAATGCAGCAAGACAGGTTTTCATTAATCTGAAATCAGTGTGGAGATCTACTGCACTCAGCATAAAGCGTGAATAAGGTCCGGATTTTCAATACCTATGTCAAGTCAGTGCTGCTACATGGTTCAGAAACTTGACGCATCACGAAAAGCACTTCCAACAGACTACAGACATTCATCAACAGCTGCCACCTACGCTCACTACATACTGAAGATCAGATAGCCAGAAAGAATAAGCAACAAGGAACTCACTGTGGCTGGCAACGAACCAACCAAGAACCTATAACCCAACAAATATGCAGAAGAAAGTGGAGATGGATTGGGCATACACTGAGAAGGCCGACTGGGGACACCACGTGCCAGACCCTAGAGTGGAACCCAAAAGGGGAAACGACGAGTTGGGCGTCCCAGGTGAGGGTGACATGAAGGAAGAAATGAAAGCTTCTGGGCAGTCGTGGAGCCAGGTTCAAAAGACTGCAGAAAATAGAGTGCGATGGAGGCGTGCTACTGAAGCCCTATGTTCCACTAGGAACCCAAGGGAAAAATAATATGTACATTTGTTTATTTTATTTACGTCATCATTTTCACTTCGTTTTCTTGCTTCAATATAACTGTCAAACGTTGTGTATCCATTCTGTTACTTCATGGATTAGTACGTAATCACCGTGCGCTGACTATCTAGACAGAACCTTGTGGCCCTATAAACAATTTCTGAAACCTCCAGCCATAATTACCTTGTAAACCTATTGATAACCTCGTACTGACCCATCAGCCGCTAGTGGATATTTTCGTCGTAACTGTAGATGAGAATGCACGGCTTCTGAAAATAACTCGTCGAAAAGAAATTTTTTGCTGACTTGTCTTTTGAGGATTTTCCACAATCTAATGCGACTATTTCGATGGCAACAAATCTGTATTTGAAAACGGAGCAATGTTTTTAAAAGTACAAAGGCCAGACATCAAATAGATATCCTCAGAGCCTTTACGATAAAAATAAACAAAAGTTAAAAATTTACTACATTTCCCTGAAGCCCTAGAAATTAGATACCTAAAACCTGACCTCTGGATATAAAAAAGACCGATTGATCAGATTTATTTTGATGTTTTCTATTTGTGTGCTGATATAATTCCTCAAGTGTTTAGCAACTCCCTTCATTAGAATCTCTGCTAAGTTGACACTTAGACAGATCTAGGATTATCGATCCAGTCATACATTATCATATGTCTTGAATAAGATGGTTAACTTTAAGTCGTATGCCGCTGATGAATACCTATGAAATAACATGACGTTATTTTATCCTGAAAACCTGTTCAGTCTTACTTTGCTAGAAGTTTTAAAGGGAACCAAATGTATGAAATCCCTTGTATTCATGTCCGGATTCCATAGGTCGCTAACCAATCACCAAGAAAGCGAAATGTTAGAGACAGTCAACGACTCCATTCATATTTTCAAGCTGGAAATCGGTGCAAAATGACTTCTGCAGCATACTACTTTGTACTTAACATGTGAAACAGACATGGGGACTATCCCCAGAAAACTCAGTATGTAGTTGATGTATTCTGGGTCGAACAAATGATCTTCAGGTAACAGATCTCTCTTAGTATAGACATAGGTAGTGCGTAGAATAGACATTACAGAAAAATCATCAGCTCGAAAGACATTACTCATTGAACTTCAACACAGTTTGGGTAGAAGCAAGTTACTTAAGAAAGTTATGTCGCTACGATGGTTTATTTCATTGAGATCTGTGTTTATGTGTACTGTGTCTGTGAGAGAATAACTATACATAAACGGAGAACTAAGCATAATAAAACAACAAACTATGCTTTCTTTATATTCTTTAAATAAGGCTACATATACATCAGAAAAACCTCGCCTGGTTAACTAGTTTACTAGTTACTAGCCGGTCCTAAGCCCGGGTAAAGAGGGAAGGTTGGGCATAGGGCTAGCAACCCTACCCCGTAAAACAAATCTAACCGCTAAAGAAACTTCAAAGCACAAACAAAATATAAAAAATGAAAACAAACTTATTCCCCGCTGGAATCGGAGAGGCGAAATGACGCCAGTTGGTGAAAGCCTTCGGGAAGCCAATTGGCCGATGTGTCTTCTCTCGATGAAAGCGAAAGTAAACGTGGGGACATGGAATGTCCGTACGATGTTTGAACCCAGTAAGGCAGCCCAGATTGCAAAGGAGATGAGAAGGTATAACATAGAAGTGCTTGGAATTTGCGAAAGCAGATGGAATGGGAGTGGACTCTCCAAACTGTCAACTGGAGAATCAATAATCTACTCCGGTCACCCAGACGCCAACCACGAGCACACTGAGGGAGTGGCTATCATGATGTCCTCAAGAGCATCGAAGGCTCTCATGCAGTGGGAACCAATCTCCTCCAGGATCATGACAGCAAGATTCAACTCAAAAGGAAGAAAGGTCACAATCATACAATGTTATGCACCTACAAATAATGCAGAGCAAGAGAAAAAGGAGGAATTCTACAGACAACTTCAATCAACACTGGACAAGACGTCAGTTGGCGATATCAAAATTCTAATGGGCGACATGAATGCCAAACTGGGAGGTGACAACACAGGAAGAGAACTAACCATGGGTCGAGAGGCGCTAGGTGAAATGAATGAGAATGGAGAATTGTTTGCAGAATTCTGTGCATTCAACGATTTGGTGATTGGAGGCAGTGTGTTCAGGCACAAGGATATCCACAAAGCGACATGGACTTCACCAGATGGACACACTAAAAATCAAATCGACTTTATCTCAATCTCAAGAAAATGGAGACGCAGTCTACTTAACACAAGGTCAAGAAGAGGAGCAGATGTAGGTTCAGACCACTATCTAGTGCAAGGAACCTTCCAAATCAAGTTAAAAGCCTTCAAGGAAGCTGGTGATAGACCTCAATTCAAGTACAACACTAGGAAACTGAAGGATGAAACTACAAAGGAGATCTTCAAGGCAGCCATCAAGACAAAATGGGAGACATCGAGGGACATCCCTGAAGAAACCTGTGTGGAAGAACACTGGAAGTCTTTGAAAGCTATGTGGAAAGAAACCTGCACAACAGTATTAGGAAGGAAGAAGAAAGAAGACAAGGAATGGATCTCGACGGATACCTGGAAGCTGATAGAGGAGAGGAGGATGGTGAAGCAGAAGATAAACCAGTGCAAGGATGCTCAACGACAAGAGGAACTGAGCACAATGTATAAAACACTGGACAAAGAAGTGAAGAAGAGTGCACGCAAAGACAAAAGACACTTCTACGAAACACTGGCAAGTGAAGCAGAACAGGCTGCAGGTAAGAGAGACCTGACGACATTGTATCAAATAACCAGGTTGCTATCAGGGAAGAGACCAACACAGATGAAACCAATAAAAGATGAAGAAGGAAATTTAATTACAAAAGAAGAGAAACAGAGGAAACGATGGGCCGACCACTTCAAGAAGCTCTTGAATCGACCACCACCTGCACTTCGTCCAGAAATACCACCTGCAGCCGCTGAATTACAAGTGAACATAAATCCCCCAACGAAAATGGAAGTCCTGAACGCCATAAAGCTACTGAAATGCGGGAAAGCAGCAGGACCAGATGGAATACCGCCAGAAGCACTGAGAACAGATGCAGAGACAACAGCGGACATGCTCACACCACTATTGCAGAAGGTGTGGAAGGAAGAGAAGGTACCGGACGATTGGAAGAAGGGTTACCTTGTCAAACTGCCGAAGAAGGGAGACCTCAGTGCTTGCAAGAACTGGCGCGGAATCACTCTCCTGTCCACCCCAAGTAAAATATTAAGCCGCATCATCCTGGAGAGGCTTAAAGACGCACTGGATTCAAAACTGCGACCGGAACAGGCAGGCTTCAGGAAGTACAAATCATGTGCTGACCAAATTGCAACACTTCGTATCATCATAGAACAGAGCGTAGAATGGCAATCAGCTCTCTACCTCAACTTCATCGACTTTGAGAAGGCCTTTGACAGCGTCGACCGAGAAGTAATTTGGAAACTGCTTCAATACTACGGAGTACCGCAAACCTTTATCCGCCTCATTCAACAACTATATGAAGATGCCACATGCCAAGTAATCCACAATGGGAAGCTCAGTGATGCCTTTGAAGTGAAGACAGGAGTGAAACAAGGTTGCCTACTATCCCCCATGATATTCCTTATTGTGGTGGACTGGATCATGCAGCAAACAGTAGGCAGCGAGAAGAGGGGGATACACTGGACGACGGAAAAGAACCTAGAAGACTTGGATTTCGCCGATGACTTATGCCTAATGTCACATAAACTTGAAGATCTGCAGGCAAAAACTAACAAGTTGACAGAAGAGGCAGCAAGACGGGACTTCAGGTGAATATAGAGAAGACAGAAGTGATGAAGATACCGCACCACCACCATCAACAACAACAACAAACTCCAATCACCGTCAACGGGAGAAACTTGAAGGAAGTAACCTCCTTCACTTATCTAGGAAGCATTGTTTCAACTACAGGCGGGACGGACGAGGACGTCAAAGTCAGAATCGGAAAAGCAAGACAGGCGTTCATTAGCCTGAAACCAGTGTGGAGATCTTCTGCACTCAGCATCTGGAACAAGATACGGATTTTCAACACCAACGTCAAGTCAGTGCTCTTGTATGGCTCAGAGACTTGGCGCGTCACGAAAGGGATTTCCAATAAACTACAGACATTCATCAACAACTGCTTACGCTCGCTGCTGAAGATCAGATGGCCAGAAAAAATAAGCAACAAGGAACTCTGGGAACGAACCAACCAAGAAGCTATCACGCAACAAATATGCAGGAGGAAGTGGAGATGGATTGGCCATGCACTGAGAAGGCCGACTGAGGACATCACGCGTCAGGCCCTCGAGTGGAATCCCCATGGGAAGCGACGAGTTGGACGTCCGAGGGTGACATGGAGGAGGTCATGCGAGGAGGAAATGAGAGCTTCTGGGCTGTCGTGGAACCAGGTTCAAAAGATCTCAGAGAACAGAGGTCACTGGAGGCGTGCTACTGAAGCCCTATGTTCCACTAGGAACCCAAGGGACTAATAATAATAATAATATAATACATCAGAAAAATCTTGAGACAATTAATATTGCAGATCAGAAAGTAACTACAATAAATGATTTGTCTTTTTTCCCTGAATTATCAATCAATTTATGTACACAATCACGTTTACGCCTTATGTGCTAACAGGGACTCTATCTTGCGTTTAATGAATTCTTCCTCCTTGGCACCTTCAAACCTTTCAATTTCTTTACCATTTCTCATGGAGATGACTGTTGGTACAACGCTGATCTAGATAAGCAACCAAAATTAACAGTAATCAACAGTGAAGTATGAGTTATATAAACATAAAATGTATGTATAGATCTCATGAAAAAATTATCACTTAATATAGAGCCAATGACTGCAGCTGAAGGTGAACATAAACCAAACCTGGGTTCGAACTGGTCTAGTATTCTCGCAAGCTGGCCTGAGTGACCCAATCCTTAATAAGACTTCAACTTTAAGTCTTACAGTAACATACAAATGGGAAAAACTATTGATGGTCACAGCTAGACTTAAACTCATTTGACCGTCAAACGATGGAGCTTTTAATTAGAACATAATAAAGAGTTCATGCCATATGACAGACTACTAGTCATATCTATCATCAAGTTATACAATCCTAAAATGGCATTGCATAGTGTAAAACAAGCCAATTTTGAAGCGAATATATTTTAAAAACAGAATGTGTTAGAGACCGTAAAAAATAGATTTCTCCCCCCCCTGAAATTGTCAATATTACGATGCCATATATGTAGATGAAGAATGTGATGGTAAAAGAAAAGACAACAAATAAGGAAGACGAGAGTAGCGTTTAGTTTACTAAAGGCGAAGGAATATTCCACTTACATGTGGTAAAACGAAGATGAATGGTCACCAGATTATAAGCTTTGGAAAAAAACAAATCGAAAACTTTTTTCCGAACACAATATCCTAAGGTTCTACAAAGGTGTTCCATCATTACTGAAAACAGACAACAACTTGAGATGATGGAAATTTCTAGCTCAGGAAGAACATAATGATGGTTTAGTGCTTTTTGAGCTTTGATGGTTTGACAATATATCCATAAAGCTCAAGGAACACTAAATCAACAATGCATAAGATCTTTACTGACACACGTCAATCAGTGGTAGGGATTTAAAAGCTGTATTGGTTACCGTTCAGTGGTAAATATGTATGCTTTATTGACATATACAGAGAACTAGTTATGAACTGAAAAATTTAGTGGAATCGTCTACAACTTCAACACTTTGTGAAACTGATGGAATATGAATTTCCTCAGAGTTGCAGATACCGGTTGTTTATGGACGCCAAAAAAAGTGATATTATTAACTAAGCATTGCATTCCTCCGGGATAAATTAGTACACTTGATAATACAACGGTAAATAAGTACACAGAGGTAAGGTTGCTAGTTTACTTGTTCATAGAAAAATAAACATGGTGCTAAATGGGACATTATAAAATACACCATTAACTTCTGATGCTTTGAGCAAATCTAAAACAGAGCATTCGTTTAACCGTACAACTAACATATTGACAGAAAAAAATTCATAAAGTGAAGTTTTGCTATGGTCCGGAGACCTCAACACTATCTTGCCCAACCCTAGCACCTTTACCTAAAACTTAATGTTTAAACCATTCTTGCGTGATGATTTTACTTAGTCTCGAAGATAAATCGAAGCTATCCATTGATGAAAAGCGCACAAACTTTTCTTATCCTAACTTCAACAGTAGTTTGATGCACTGTAAAGTTAGTCGTTAGAATGCATTCACATATCTAGCCAACATCATAGAACAGCAAACGTCAGTCGGTACATAAGTCACTATTAATTTTTGATACTTTCATCTGACAACTTAATGTACCAAACATCTTCAAATTTTATTGTTACAACTGTTTCCCCAAGTAGTATGCATACTTGAACCAAAGAGTGATCCGTGTTTATTCAATTGTGCATCTTGAAGAATTGGTAAACATTTAGTTATTCCTAGCCCCCAATCACGATAATCTGACTGTGTCCATCATCGATCCCAGGTTATCACGAATGAAATCATTTTGCATGGGCTACTTCAGTTTACCGAACACATTACACGCATACCATCTCAGCTATCTCTATAATGAAAAATATTCTGAAAGCTGAGACCGATTAGAAAAAGTAGTGATTTTTTTGTGAAATACTGCCAGGAAATAGAGGAGAACTAGTGTCTATTAGAGCACCATGGTTTACAAGAGTCAAAAGTCAACTTTAATAAGGGACCCGGTATTACTGCCCAACGGTCTTAGTTGCCACACTTTAAATCAGCAGCTAAAAATACAAGACAACAGGATAAAAGACAAAAATAAGGGAGAAAAATGTCAATTCTTAAAAGCCCTAAGAAGAGTATGTAAAGTAAATAACAAAGTGTGATATGATAATTAAGATGAAGATGACGTGTGGATGTGTATGCGCCGCTACGATCGATTTTCAACCACATCATCATTGATTTCGGGGATCAAGTAGAACCCAAAGGGAAAGTCTACATCTGCCTACATGTTGTAGAACAACACAATTAGAGGCTTCATGACCTGCTATCAATTTCTAGTCTAGTCGTCTCCACTTTTCCTTCCAGCCTTAGCCTAGTTCAGTAAACACCGCGCGACAAGGTAGACGATAACTAGGCATATGTGACACATATCTCAGCCACATCGGTCGATGAAGGTTTACAAAGTCATCAAATAACTTACCCACCCTCTACGCCTAACCTCCGTATTACTAGAGTGGTGATTCCATGACTCATGGTCAGAGCTACGAAGATAACGGTGGTCGAACAAGTGGAGCTTACTCATGTTCTCCAATTTTAACGGTCGTGTTTCACAGCCATATAGTAAGAGATGGAGAGTTGTGTTGTGCAGAAACTTGCAATTAGCAGATGAAAAACGCATTCCGAATATCCTGAAATTGTCATTCGAAGTGTCTAGAAGATTCTGCGTCTTACCAGTCTTCACTCAACAAAAGTATGTCATTTTCATATGTTGAATCTACTGAAGAGTCTCCTGTAACAAGATCAGATGAGCAGGGAGAGGCCTCTACTAACATACCTCTGATAAAATTTAATAAGAATGAATATCTTTAAAACACACTACTTGACTAAAATATTTCACCTGATACCTCATTGCAAGCTCTTACATGACCATAGTTATCCGGGTCTACAGCCTTCAGTGATGTTGTACTCAGAAGTCATCCCTCTCAGAGGGGAATGCACTGCAATAAGACCTCTCGATTGATGGAGCCAAATCCTGCCTTTATATCAAGGAATAGAGCTAGTGTATGGTGTAAGCAAGTATCCTTTCGTTTCAAGACCTGAAGGACGGTGAAAATATAGTCGATACGCCCACGACCAGGTTGGAAACCTTTCTGGCTTTCTCGGGTTTGTTGTTACCGAGTTTCACTTAGGCGCTTAGTGATTATAGAACCTAAGATCTGAAACACTATATTCGTAAGGCTTATTCTTCTGTGGTTATCACAGACAGTTTTTGGTCCTTACTTGAAGACTGGGACAACCACAGACTGGGACCAATTAAGAGAGATCCTATCAGATTTTCATAGGCCAAGTAAAACTTCAAAATGTCTAACCAACAAACCTCCGTCATTGTCCTTGAATACCTATGGTGCCAATGCATCGAGATCTGTCAACCTTGATCGTTTACCGTCACTCGCAACTTGCTAAACTTCCGCAAGAACTGAAGGCTCCAGGTCAGTGTTTCTTATAAGATGCGACTGGACAGCGAGAAATTGAAAATCAGTTGAACTGTTCATCAAAGTGTTCCACTCACTGCTTCAGTAATTTATTTTGCGAGTGAACTATAGAATAATCTTTTGTTGCTGCATTCTTACTGACCCATGACTTTTCCACTAGCTTCCTTGGTAAATCCAAACTGCTATACCTTTACCATTCCCGTGTCCTTCACTTCCCACTAATGATTACGGTCACTGATTGGACTCTGTTAGTATACATTTGAACTGTATCCACTACTGTGCTTAGAGCCTGAAGGAATGACTTCACGAGCACTCATCAATTCTCCATACAGCTGCTGAGATCCACTGACTCTTATTTACCTCTATCAGAGGATAAGCTATGGTCTCTACAGCAGACTGGAGACAGCATCAGACTTCCAGATAAGTACCCTTATTATGGTTTGATAACTGTTTAACCAGTTTCTTTTTGAGAGCAGATATAGTATTTTCCTCATCGAGCTGCTTATTGAATCATTCTTCAGTAGTAGTTTTTTTACATCCTCTTAGTCACAGATGTGTTCGATTCGAACTAACTGGGTTCCCTAAGATATATTCTACGCGGAGATACAAAGTGTGATCATTGCTACTATTAACCAGACAACGATGTTCAGTCTGTCAGTTCACTATAAAACCAACATTGGAAACATTACACGAAAATTTACTCACTGCTACTTAATAAGAACTATCGAAAATTCAGAGGACAGTTTAAGCGTGAAAAAGACTTACCTGATACTGTCCAGAGACGGTTTCTAGTTGATCAACGTCAACTTTAGCAAGTAAAATGGACTTCATATATGACTTCATGACATTTTCCAGTCTTGGACCTAAGATTTTACAAGGACCGCACCTAGAATTTTTTGAAAATCGACAACAGATGATCACATTATTTTCTAAACATTCATTAATATATCTTGAAATTAAAAGTTTGGCTTCTACTTTCTTACCAAATAAAACCACGAATATTTGGCTCAGCATATAATAAATGCTAAAGAAATTAATGGGCAAGAACAATTAAAATGTTCCACAGGAAGAGTCTATTTAGGATATAGACGAAATGAAAAAAACTGAGAACGATCTCCTTTGGAGACCCAGTTATTAACAGACTACAGAAACACAGAGGGTTAAAATCTCAGTTTTCAGGTGTTTAGTAAACTGATCTGAAGTCTTTTTATTGCAGATTTTTGCCACACTTGAATTCTAAGAGGAAAACATTTACCGGAAGCATCTAGCCAGATCAGCTTCATCCTCATCATCCGTATAGTCATGCTAATCTGCTTTCTCAGGACAATTTAAAATGCATGGATCTTTTAGTATAGTACGACCAAAATGTATGTTTGCACTGGAAATGCAATCTTTTAGTATCGTACCAAGAAGTAAAAAACGCAACAAAAAAAGTACGGAATCCCAACTCTGCAAATTGATGATGGCCTTATGTATATATCACAGTTGAGATCTCATCAATAGTCATGTCTTTTTCACAAGGGAAAATTCAATAACAATTTTCCCTCCAGGCGGCAAATGAACGTACAGAACAGGCACATGAATGGAAACTGGCTACCCAAACACATAATCATTGCTTACATCGGCAGTTGGTTGGGTAAAGCAAAACTCATCAGCTATGACTGCGTCAACTTTTACTTAGACTCGGGTAGCTTTTCAAATTGGAGGTGTTAATGTCTGGCCAGAGCGCCATCTCCCATTTACCCTGCAGCATACTGGTGCAGCAGATATGGATTAGCAGTTAACTCGAGAGAATCATAATTCTAAAAAAAGTCATGTGTGACCTGCCTAAAGCAGACGTCCCGTGGGCTGTGGGCAAGCGCTAACTCTTCTTCCTCGGGTAGCTCAAGAAATAGCCCACCACGGTGTAGGCAGCGGAGGAAGTGTCAAACGCCCGCACGAATCCACCACCTTTCAGGTTCTCTCACATCAACGCTTACCTCCTATATCCTTACTTTCTTATATTCTTTCACGTCTCTCGGTCAATATTCCTACACTATCCTCAATTCCTTCCAGCCCTGCAGCTATTGGCAACGATCTGAGTTCACGAAACAGCCTCCCCAAGACCCTGAAATCGTACTCTAAGCCAAACACTAGAGCCATCAATGTCAGCATAACCCGTCAAATTCACCAACAAGCCTCTCCAGCCAAAATTCTAGCAGCTCGAGGTCATTTCTCAGAAATACATACAGGACCCAAATGCCGTCATTCACTTAACCTCTCTCGGCTAACGTGGTGAATTCATAGAATTCACCCTACGAGTTTCTGGAGATTCAATGGCCAATTCTCACAGTCTTGCAGGTGCACGTATAGCATTCAGTGCACTACTCGACTGTATCTCAGTTGACAGTCACCCATGTGCAGTTCGACTGAACAGTATAGTGAAAACTAAAAAGAATGGTCAAACTCACCTTTGTTTCTTTGTAATCTCTGCTTTCACACTCACTGACTGCAGTTCAGATGAAGTGAAGGATGGGTTCTATCGAAAACTATCTAACCAATTACTGAAAGCCAAACGACCGATAGCTGCTACCTTGACATGGTGGTCGGGCTTGCATATCACAATGACCCAACGAGCTATGCTGGTGGAACGCTTGTTCCCTCGAGGTCCTACCATACCAGAAAGGTCTGTTGGATAGTGGTTAGACGAAAAGCAGTTACCGTTGTAGTGTAAATTGCTACACTATGATGGGGGTCTGAGGGCGAAGTCGTACTGCTGCTAGCTGGATGGGGTGTGACAGCAGTAAGGTGTTTCCCTTGGATGACCAGCAGTGCCATGCTGCTGCCTTCTCAGTGGAAGGGGGGGGTTAGAAAAGGTCGGCCCCAAAAATAACACACTCCACCACGCCCCACGGTCTGCCGGGCCGGCGGTGTTGGTTCACTTGTCGTTTCCTTTCGATCATCCGGCCCCAAAAATACAAAAGTTCAAAATAATCATACTCAAAAGGCTGGGTGTGACAGGCCTCAAGCAGATGTCCGATGGGCTCTGCGGTCACACAAATCTCTTTCAGGTACCTTAAGAAGAAATAGCCTTCCACGGTGTGGGCAGCCGGGAAGTGTCAACCACCCTCACAACTCTGTCAGCACTCAAGTTTCTTCTGACTGCTATCCACCTCCTCCATCATTACCTTCTAATCTTCCTTCACGTCTCTTAACTAATAATGCTGCATCATCTTCAATTTCTCCTACCTCTGCAGCCTTCGACAACGATCTGAGTCCACAGAACAGCATCACTGGTCTCCTTAAACCACGCTCCAAATTACATATTGGAGCCTTCAATGTCCGCACCCTCCGTCAAATTGGTCAACAGGCTTCGTTGGCAAAGACTCTAGCAACTCGGGCATGGATGTGTGCTGTGTTTGTGAGACACGCATACAGGACCCAAGTGTGGTTATTCACCTGACCTCTCCTGACCAATCTGGTGAATCTGCAAAATTCACCCTTCGAGTTTCTGGAGATTCGATAGCTAGCTCTCGTGGTCTTGCAGGTGTAGGTATAGCATTAAGCACTAGGGCAGAAAACTCACTACTAGACTGGATCCCAGTTGATAGTCGCCTCTGCGCTATGAGGCTGAACGGCACAGTGAGAACTAAAAGGAATAGTGAGACTCGCCGTTGTCTCTTTGTAATCTCTGCTTACGCACCCACTGACTGCAGCTCGGATGAAGTGAAGGACGAGTTCTACCATAAACTGTCTAACCTCCTCTCGAAAGCCAAACGTTCGGACGTAGTGGTTGTTGCAGGTGACCTCAACGCACAGGTGGGTAGACTGAGTGAGGCAGAAAGGCACTTAGGTGGCACTTTCGGAATCCCAGCTGAACGTACAGATAACGGTGATCGCCTATTACAACTATGCTCAGATAACCGCCTATTTTTAGCCAGCACAAATTTCAGACATAAAGAAAGGCACTGTCTGACCTGGCGTCCACCGAGCTCGACTCAGCGATGGACACAGATAGACCACATTGCTATTAGTCATCGCTGGAGAGGATCGGTGGAAGACTGCCGCTCCTTCTGGAGTACGTGTTTGGACAGCGATCATGCGTTGGTCCGAGCACGTATATGCCTGCGTCTCAATGGACGTAGAAAAAATTTGGCAACAAAACCACTACGAGTTCTGCTGGACAACGAAAACACCAAAGCCGTGTTCAGTGAGAAGTTGGCTAGGCAGTTATCGGAACAAAAGACTGTCACTCATCCAGAAGAAGCTTGGTGCCATCTTCAGTCTACTGTAAAAGCAGCACTGGAGACTGTAGCCGACTCCAAAATAATGGCTAAAAAGAGCCAGTGGATATCAGCAGCTTCTTCCAAACTAATGGATGCACGTGAATGCATCCCTGCAGGCTCTGAGTACAATGAAGAGCGAGCGCAACTTAAAAATAGACTGACGAAAAGTCTGCGCAACGATCGTGAACAGTGGTGGGCAGCGAAGGCTAAAGAGATGGAAAAGGCAGCGGCGATCGGTAACAGTAGACAGTTATTTAGACTTATTAAGGAGACTGGGGGGAAATGGTCAACAACAGTTAGTGAGGCTATAGCGGAGAAGGACGGATCTGCGATTCACTCGCAGGGGAGACGACTGGAACGATGGGCAGAACACTTCGAGGAACAGTTTAACTGGCCTCCAGCCACCATTGCGCTGCCCGCTATCCAGTCGGACCCTGAATGGGACATAGAGACAGGTCCCCCAACACTAGAAGAAGTTGAGAAAGCGGTAGGTAGCCTGAAACGAGGAAGGGCAGCAGGACCAGACGGACTACCTGCTGAGGTATACAAGAATGGTGGTAGAGTTCTCTTAGTCAGGCTAACGGAAGTGTTAGCCAGTATATGGGAATCAAATACGATCCCCTCCGACTGGTCTAAGTCACTGATCATCCCAGTCTTCAAGAAAGGCGAGAAGTCCTCTTGTGATAACCACAGAGGAATCAGCCTGACAAACATAGTGTCTAAGATCCTAAGTTCTATAATTCTCCGACGCCTGAGTGGAGCTCGGGAACAGCAAGCCCGAGAAAACCAGGCAGGCTTTAGACCTGGCCGTGGATGTATCGACCAAATATTCACACTGCGCCAGGTCCTGGAACATAGGCATGCTTACAGACGCCCGACAATAGCTGTATTTCTCGACCTGAAGGCGGCATTTGACTCCGTTGATCGAGAAGTCTTATGGCAATGTCTGTCACTGAAAGGCGTGCCTAGTAAGTACATCACCTTATTGAAAGCTCTCTACTCGAACACTTGTGGGCATGTTAGAGCCTATGGTGAGTTGTCCAGGGAGCTATACTCATCAAGTGGTGTCCGTCAAGGATGCCCACTATCCCCATTCTTATTTAATTTTATCATAGATATTCTTATGGAGGTTTCCCTCTCGTCACCTAATTACACAGACGTTGACCGGATCACAGGTGAATTTTCCTTAGATCTAGAATATGCAGATGACATAGTCCTGTTAGGTGAAGACGCTGACAAGATGCAGAGTCTTCTGAACACTTTGAGTGGGAATTTGAGAATGTTTGGGATGCGATTTTCACCACCCAAATGCAAATTTTTGCTCCAGGACTGGTCTTCAGCGGTGCCACGGCTAACAATAGAGAGTGAAGTGGTTGAGTGTGTTGACCACTTCACTTACCTGGGAAGTAGGATCAACGCTGGTGGGTTAGTTGCCGATGAAATTTCTGCACGGATACAAAAGGCTCGATTGGCTTTTGCCAATTTACGCCACCTATGGCGCCGCCGTGATATCCGTTTGTCTATTAAGGGTCGCGTGTACTGCACAGCAGTCCGCTCTGTTCTACTGTATGGCTGTGAAACATGGCCATTGAAAGTGGAAGATATAAGAAGGCTTCAAGTGGTTGACCACCGTTGCCTTCGTAGTATAGGACGTATTCTGTGGTGTCACCACGTGAGTAATGCAGAAGTTAGGTGTAGAGTTTTAGGGAGAAGAGGTAAATCAGTAGACGAGGTTGTGAACCTTCATCGACTGAGATGGTTGGGACACGTACTACGTATGCCTAGTCACCGATTGCCTCGTCACACAATGTTGGCTGAGGTGGGTTCAGGCTGGAAAAAGGCCCGAGGTGGCCAGACTAAAACATGGCATCAATGTATGAAGTCTCTGACTGTGGGTTTGAGCTATGTAGGGCGATGCAGACTAGGTGGTTGGGGTCCGCGGGACAAGAGCAACCAGTGGTTGGAGACTCGAGGTGATATGGCTGAGAACCGATGTCAGTGGCGCAGATGTATACACACATTATCCTCATCTTAACACTACCGAATCTCACCATTTTGTCACTCCCCTTTTCTTTCTTCTCGTACTTTATATATTTTTTTGACTGCATTCTCTTATCTTCATCCTTCATCTCACTACCTTTCTGCTTGATGAACTGAGGTGAGGTGTGGCAACTCGGACCATTATGCAGTAATGCTTGGTCCTATGTTGATAGTGATTGATTGATTGAGAGCCAAACGATCAGATGTGGCAGTTGTTGTAGGTGATTTCAATGCACCGGAGGGTACACTAAGTCAGACAGAAAGGCACTGAGGTGGCACTTTTGAATTCCCAACCGAACGAGCAGATAACGGGGAACACCTACTACAACTACGCACAGATGACCATCTTTTTCTGGTCAGTAAGACTCCAGACGTAAAGAGATATTGTCTGACGTGGCGCCTACCAACCTCAACTCAAAGATGGACACAGGGAGACCTCATTGCTATCAGTCATCGGTAGAAAGGATCGGTGATGAACTGGGGCTTCTTCTGAAGAACGTGTCTGGACAGCGAGCACGCTTTGGTTAGAGTGCATACCTACCAAAGCATGATACTGGTCGCATTTCTCGACTTGAATACGGAATTGAGGTCTCCCTCTCGTAGTTTGACTTCGCTCGGATTGATCTAATCACCGGAAATCCCTAGGTAGGTCGAGGGTACGCAGATGACAGTCTTGTCAAGTGAAGACTGACAAAATGCAGCCTTTTGAACATCTTAAGTGGCAATTGGAGCATGTTTGGGATGCATTTCTCTCTACCGGAATGCAAACCATTGCTCAAGGACTGACCTGGCTTGGCGCTTCATTTAAAAATAAAGGGCTTAAAATGGCTGAGCACGCTGGTCACCACTTATTTGGGACGTCATATCAGCAAGTGATGTGTTAATAGTCGACAAAATCTGCGCACGGATACAAAAGGCTCGATTGGCTTTCTCCATCTATGCAGTCTCCGCGATGTTCAGTTGTATGTTGAAGATCGAATGTACCGAACTGCAGTTTTCTCTGTTCTACTTTGTGGATGCGAAACATGGCCATTAAAGGTCGAGGATGAGGAGACTTCAGGTATTCGACACTATTCCCTTCGTAGTATAGCCCATGTGCTATGTTACTATGTCAGTAACGTAAACATCAGGTGTAGAGTTTTGTGAAGAGAAAAACGAATTGATCAACTAGTGAACTTTCTCGACCGAGGTGTCTGGGGCATGTATTACGCACGCTTGGTTAAAGCCTGCTCAGTTGCACAATGTTGACCGAAGTAGGTTCGAGCTGGAGAAAGGTTAGGGGTGGGTAGACTAGAAAGTGGCATCAGTGCATGAAATTTCTGACTGCTGGTCTGAGCCATGTACGGAAATGTAGACTTCATTGTTGGAGTCCGTGAGATGATAGAAATAAATGTTTGGAGATTTAAGAGGCCATGGCTCAGAAACGATCTCAGTGGTGCAGATATATCCAATCATTATTTTCATGTAGATCGCGATAATGAATTTAGTATTTTCTTACTTCTCTTCGTTATCTTACCACCTCTTTCTACCACTTCGGACTACCTTCTCTATTTATTTATCTTTCATCTCAATGTTTTCTCGCTTGATGCGATTTTAGATGTGGCAACTTGGACCGTTACGCATTTGTACTTAGTCCTATGTAACTGATCATAGCACTGCACTAAGATTAGACAAAAAACCCTCGGTATGTTAGATGCGTTGTTGGATGAGCAAGATATGAGTTCTCAAATGTCTTCATTGCATCGATCGAATGTCCTGGAACTACAGAGAAAAACATGTTGAGTTTAAGTGTAGTTTTTTGCAAGAAAGGTAAACTAGACTTTAGAAACCAGATAAATAACTTATAAGATAACTCAAAAGTAAACAACGTGGATCAAATATATTCACTTCTTTTTTTCATCTACCTTTTGAACCGAAATAATTATTTTTCCCCGCCTACTAGTGTCTAACTAATTTAAAAACCTTTTGTCCATGGTATGCTTCTGGTTTGCCCTGAGAAGCGTAGTGACAATAACCGACATGCTAATGTAAAGACTGTTCAATTCAGTTAATTTGTCAACTTTTGTTAAATCTATAGTCTTTTGGCGAATGCTTGCAAGTATCAAAAAAATAAAACTTAGTGGTACACATGCATGAAAATGAACAGTTAACAAAGAATCAGGTAGACAATAGGAATATTTTTTAATCTCCCATTATTATGAAAATCAATTTTATTCCCCTAAATGATACAGGAAACACTAACCACTTGGCATGAAAGTCGACAAGCACTGGCGCTGGATTTTCTAAAACACGCTTCTTAAAGTCGTCATCATCTTGAATATTTGTGATACCGAACTCAGCGTCAGTTTTACTTGATAAGCAGCGTGAAAATGTCACATGTTTTTGAATTACTTTATTCAGCCTATTTGAAGCTGGGCTTACACTAAAAAATGCAGATCCAATACCACATTTAAGCAACCTAAAAGTGAGATGAAAGCTTTGTGAACGTTCGCATATCTTACCAAACTGATGGAGAAATCAGCATCTGAAAAGTTGAATAAATGAATTCCAATTGATTAATTTTTAGAGAATAGTGAGAAAAATGAAACGGATATAAAGTATGTTTATTGGCTAATCATTAGGTTTGACATCAATAAATCCTAAACGTGTTTCATTCTGACGACTTGTTAGAACACCTGATACATCTATGTATCGTTCCACACAGTTAGCTATGCAGCCTTCAGTTCTTGAATCCAATGAGTTACTTAATTTTGAAACACATTTATCCCAACAAAGTGATGTGAGCTGATGACCCAATTGTTGAAATCGTTGCTTCTGTAATTCCTGAAGTAACTGACGTTGTATCCCTTCACCAGTCATTCAAACGTTGTAGAGGTTTTAAGTACCAAAACTGTAAAATTAAATAATAAATTTTAACTTCAAAATATTTTATGTAGTAAATCATAGATGAATTTGAGATAAAATTATATATTCGACTGAAACACATTTCATATTTTCCCACTGTGAATGCACATTTGTCAAATAATCACTGCAGCAATTCCCCGCCTACTCAGAGTACGTACGGAAAAATAAACCCAGTTTAAGCCTCTGGATTTCAGTGGAAAGGTTACCAGCTGATATTCCATCCTAATTAACTCGGTCTTGGTCATCTGAAACAAAATAATCGCTGTAGCTGAGGTCAATCGGTCCACAAACCCGACTTTCAAACCCTGCTCCACCAACCGGGGTTTGAGTAGCCAGGTAATATCTTAAGCCCTTACACAAGAAGTGAAGCCCATTGCTTACGGCAGGTGGTTCCTGAGTCACATTACAAATGGCTCTGCGGAATCCCACTTCGAAACGAAAATTAACAATAACATTGTGGAACTTAGAATGCTGTGCAGGTCAGTGAACGAACTAACTGGTTATAATTAGGGGTGAAATGCAAAAAATGCATTCAACTGAATGCGACTGGCTAAGGTCAAAGTTATGTGTGAATGCATACCGTCATTTGATCCAATTTAACTAATTTGCATAAATTTGATTATCACCCATATTCCCCCCTAAATTTCGCTGAATTTTTAGAAATACTTTCGTACAAGAAACGAGTAAGAAATAAATATATACAGAATATTATATGCCTTTAGGCTGCATACAGGTTGGTCAGTGGTAAAAAACGTAACATTAAAGTAACTGGTTTTCAACGAAAAGCAGTAAATAAAACAACGGTCAGTACACTTACTCAAGTTTCAAAAGATGCCAAAATGCAGATAAACGACTGTTGCTACAACAACTTGGAAAGTATCAAAATAAGTTGGGATTATTTTGAAGAACACGTTCGTTTTCCCGTGACCCGATATGACTGCTTATAAACATACAGTTTCAACACAAGTAACAGGAGGAGTTACTATATGAACAGAATCACAAACAGTGGGTTCAATTTCGAACCTCGATCCCCCTACCGAAGTTTGGAAAGCCACTTGCAATAAGTGTGGTTGCTTCCTTAGTGCAGAGCTAGCTGGTTGAGTTACATTACACACAAGGGTAAAGAATATATCATGTGTAACACAATCTGCTAGGATGTCATTTTTCAGCAAAGTCAAAAGACTATTAGAATAGTTAATTGTAGCTCAATGAAATTCGTCAAATTTTTCCAAAAATTTCAGTCTTTTGTTGATCACATCATGCTTAAAATTGTAACGATGCTTGAGAAAATAACAAAACTGTTATTACTTGATAAAAAATGTCTCATATTACGTGGACAGAATTCATCCTTGCAAGGTCCATTAACTGTTTAGGCAGATGTTATTTATTTGGTTTCTAACACAAACTCTGTAAAGCATGATAATCAACAGACATGGAAATTTGTTAAGATATGAGACGAAAAGGACAACAGAAAGACCGCAAAATCAATGCCGTTTGATATTTTTAAAAGACGGCACACGACGAGGATAGACAAGAAAAAGTACATTAGGATTATACACAGTTTCTGAGATTGAACAATATCTGGTAGGGCTTAATTTTAATGAACCAATTAGATGTTCTTCTAACATCAAATCAGTCCCTTTACAGGTAGGAGGTAAGTAAGGTCACATCCAACAATACATACAAAAAAGTGAAGCCTGGCACAAAAGTGTATCGGGTCAAGTTGTTACGCTTTACAGTAGCATGCACACAGCAAGTGAACAGAAAAAGACTGATAATAGAGTAGATAAGAGGATATGAGAGGAAAAGTAATTTGAAGATAGGGGTCAGTGGAAATATTAAAACTTTAGAAGACATCAAACAGTGAATACATCTATGCAGTTGTGACCGATTTTCAAACATGTCACTGAGTCAAACATTGGTCCCTATGATCCTGTGGAACCCAGCCAGATAGCCCACACCTCCCTACATGGCTCAGACCAATAGTCAGTGGTTTCATGGGCTGGTGCCACGTCTTGGCCCGCCCACCATGAAACCTTTCCCAACCTAATTCAACTTCTCCTACTATTGCACGTCGAGGTAGGCGTGGCTCGGCATAAGCAGCACATGTTCGAGCCATCTCAACAGATGAAAGTACACAACTTCATCAGTTGACCTGCCTGTCTTGCCTAAAGCCCTTCCGTTAGCCTCTAAATTACTCACGCGGTGATTCCACCAAACGCAACAAATGTAAAGAAGACACCTATGATCAAAACCCTGTAATCGCTTAATGTCTGATAGCTTCAACAACCATGTCAGCCGCATAACGGGACAGAATAGATTGTGCTTATTATCATTATCAGTATTACTATCAAAGCACAAACATGGTACAACAAGGGAACCAAGAAATGTGCAGTACAAAATAATATAACACTATTTTGAGGACATAAAGTGAAGGGAGGTGTATTAACAGAAAAACTATAATAGAATGATTAGAAGGGTAGTTCAGTAAGATAAACTCAAAACAAAACGTCCATTACTTTACAGCAGAAAATTGAAGGAAGTTACAACATGACTCCCACTGGTTTCAGTTCTGAATTATATCTGATAACGCCTCAAGCCACTGAGTTGTGTAATCTCTCGGACTCCACTCAGGAAGTCGTGATGCACCAACAGATGCTAAGCTGATACAACTATCCTTCATCCTATGACGCAACGTCATACGCTGACCACCCCACCACTTCTTCCCTCTACTCCCACAGCTAGCAAACAATGAACGGTATGGAAGCCGTTGTGACGACATGCGTAACACATGTTGAGGTCACCAAAGAAGATCTTTCAAGATGTCTTCACTTAGTGAACGACGATCTCCAACATACCCAAATACGGGCTGTTATGTCTCAGAATTACTTACATCGTGTTGCCACCGGATACGAGCAATCTCACGGAGACGACGATGATCAAACACAGAGTCGTCGCACATCCTTAGCTTGGGGAGGCCCGGTTTCATAAGTGTAGAGCAGAACTTCTCGCATCGAAGCGTTGTAAACCCGACCTCTCACAATCAGACCTGAGTCGGGATGGCCCCAAACACGGCCCAGGTTGACGGTTACCACTCTGGCTTTCGATCTGCGGTCAGAGGTTTCATCACTTACACCTCCACCAGTACTCAACACTACGTAGATATAAGAACTTTTCGACCACTTTCAAAGAGTCACCATCGAGGGCGAGCCTAGACAAAGGTTCCTGCTAATCTTGCAAGAGTACTTTGCACTTCGATGGTGCAAAGCGCATACCGTACTTATGGACGGTAATCGTCAACTGATTAAGTGCGATTTGAGTAGCCTGCGTTATCGCACAGTAAGGCGATATAGTCCGTATATTCAGGGTCGAATAGCCGTTTTGCGGGTACTAGATCTACACCACCGCGACACTTCCTTCAGTTGTCTGAAAAATTTCATCGATGGCAAAGCTAACCAGGAATGGGAAAATCGGGAAACCCTGTCCGACCCTACTTCTGTTTTGGAACGGTGGAGACAGGTGGCTGTACGCCCCCCACTTTACCTGATGTGTTATTACATACGGCTTTCAAAATGTTAATAAATTCCTCATGCACGCACCTCTCCAACAGACAGTTCCGGAGTACAGCTTTGTCCAACCAATCGAAGACTGCTCTAATGTCAACAAACGTAGCGATTGTTGGCCTCCAATACGTGTGGCGACGTCCAAGCATCCGCTAGAGGATAAACACATGATCAATGTATCCACGACCTGAACGAAACACCACCTGCTCCATGCGTGTCATTTTCTCATGCGTTTTGCGGTCCGCGAAGCATGACAGCAGCCAATATTTTCGACGCCAATGGTAACAGACTAATACCCCAATGATTATCACACACACCTTTTAAAGATGGGCACAGTGATGGCCACATTCCCAGAGTGATGGGACAGTTTGACACACCGGAAACAATCTAGCCGATTACCTGACTAGAGTTGTTCCTCCATCTTTAAAAAGAGCTAGGAGTACGTTGTTTGGGCCGAGTGTCTCGTGGCGTTTCGGGACTTGGAGTTGCTTACGGACCTCCACTTCGTTAGGTGGGTCAGTCAGCCAGTATCACTTCTGCCTTCTTTCAGTTCCCCAGATCGGATATCATTAGTATGCAGTTAAATAAGTCTTCTTTCATTAAATAGTCTAGATGAGGCTGAGAAGACAATGGCCTTTAAAGACCTTCGGTTTTATGCTATCAACTGCGTTCACAACTGCTTCTACAGTTGACTGAGTACGACGTCAAGTAAAAGCATAGGAATCTAACAAGCTTTCACAAGTGCTCACTTGGGGAGTTAATATTCAAACCGTACGCAGTAAATTTTTAACTATCTTTTCCATCCACTGAGGAGCAGACACGCGCTGGCCAGCCACTACCTTATTACAGTTCAAATAGTTACTCCAAAAAAGTAGCAGCTCCCTATCAATCTACCGTAACAATGATTGTCTTTTATTCGGTTTGTGAGTGACTCTCAGTCCACACATTTTCTTTGTGTCTGTATTTTGATCTAGTAAGCGGAATTGCTGCAGGATAGCCACACTATCACCTAATTGGAACAAAATATCGAACATGTACAGAGAAAACACCCAACCTAAGCTTCCCAGCTGTGGGTTATAGTCACTTGTAACATCCCTATATTTATGCAGCGGAACTGAGCACTTAATAGAAACCACTCTTACCAAAAGGTTTTTCACCACTCTCATAGACTGGGATAACTCAGGATCTAGACCAATCTTCAGTTCAAATGCGCTAGATGTTACCTCATTTATTCTGAAGAGTAATTTTCACTCAGATTTCTGGCAGCAAACAGTCAAGTCATCACTGTATTCTTATTTCAAGCTAGAAACAACTTTCTTATGTTGAACGAACTGGAGGACCAAAATCTATATTCCATTCAGACTGGTTGGATTGATTACAAGCAGTGCAACG